CTTGGCATAGAATACGATTCTGATTTTCTGCAAAACATCTCTCTCACTATTTGACTTCATGCAGTCCCAACAAATTTGTATTCTTATTAGTAATAACCCTGGTCTCATTATACAATTTCTCACTGATATCATCTATCTGATCTACTAAACTATAACAGATGCTAGTTAAAGACTTTCTACTCTGGATATCTCTGATTGTATGACACAAATATATTCAACCACTTGACTACTACTTTTTTATGTCTTCATTCCTAACAAACTACATGCAGTTCATCCCATACATAAAGAGCCATCCCACTTCAAATATAACAATGTTTCAGTAACTACTTTTATACTATGTCTTCTATTTCAACTTGAACCCTGAACTCATCCATTTTGTTCCTAATACTCCTAATGTTAGAATAATAGAAACTAAGCTTATTCTTGAATCTAGTGTCTATATTTATATGTTATCCTAGTACCTATCCTTCTTAAGTGTATCACATTTCCACTATATGATTCACTTTTATCTTAACTCTTTCAGCACGGGCTCGATCTCTGGGACTGACCTCGTATCCATTTTGTGATTGTTATAGTTTTCATGCTATAACTTTTAAATTAGTAAGCAAATGTTAACAAAATTTGGCTGGTTATCAGTAAACATTACAATGCTTTCATATGCAAAATATCAATTTCTTTTATTAAGTCTTAAGATTTGTAAAGCAATGTTTATCCAATGTCTTTTTTTTTCTTTTTGTATATTGCCTATCTATCATGCAAAGTAATATTCAGTTTAAGATTAAAAATATTTGTATGCATCAGAACATTTTGAAATTTCACATGCAAAACCTTTATAATGTCCAGATAGTTATCAAATGTTTCTTAAGAAAAAACTTTAAGTTTTAACTGTTATTTTCAGTAATTAATCTAGATGGATTCGGTAAATTTGACCAATCTTGCAACCACCATAAAAAATTAGGAAAGATATATAAATTATGCCTTTTTCATTCTAGAATGAACACAAATTACAATACAAAAACATAAATGTTTAGACTAAATAGCTTAAATCTCATAACATTATACATTTATATATATATATATTTATTATTTTTATTATATT